AAACGTCAGCAATTGTGTTCTAATAAATTCTATATTAACAACCTCGTGTCTGCTTATTGATGAAAAACATTGAATGTTCACTTTTTTTCTAGAGGGATATCAATGTCTTTGCCGTGATGGTATGCGATATGATAACGGAAAATGCGTCGATATTAGTAAACCATTCAAATCGTCAAGTCAGGTTATAGGTGAGATACTTCTACCCATTGGGACGATACGCATTGATGCGAATGCACCGTACTCGAAAACAAGTTGGCATTTTAACCTTAAATAGTCGTTTCTCAGCTCATAGTGAAAATTATTAATTGAAATAAAAATTAATAGAATCCACAGGTCTTAGCGAAGAAGATACAAACTGCGCTATTCTACCGCTACCTTCAAAGAAGGCATTTTTTCGGTTTTTTTTTGAGGCTCATATGTTTTAGTATACATTTACTCTCTTAATATCTTTATAGTAAGACATCAAGTAATGAGCAATATTCTGGTTATATCGAAGGATTATCAGCAGCTAAATTCATAATCGTAGCTAGTGTACTAAACGAAATTCCTGCGCCTTTATGTCCATATTATCTCAATTTTTTTTTGAGAAGGGTGCGTGTGGAGCAGAGGTCAGAGGCGCCCTGCAACACACACGTGTAATCGATCTCCGCGCCAATGGCCCACCAAGCCTTTCATTCCTCCGGGGTTGGCATATTGGTACCAGTCTTGTCTGGTAGGATAGCAGCACTGGCTCGATACATCGGTAGGTCACCGAGTCATTGTAGAGGCCAGATATGCATTTAACCACCTCCAAACGATGCTTAATGAAGTCGAATGCATGGCGCATTCCTCATTGATTGACCTAAGCCGAAAACTTTATCCTTTTATCCTTTATCGAAATTTCATAATCATAGCTAGTGTGCTAAACGAAATTTCTACGTGTTTCCGTCCATATTATATCAATTTAAAAGAAAAGATAAACCTCTCGGCGTTTATCAATCCCTTAGGGATACGATGCATTCGACTTCGCTAAGCATCGTTTGGAAGTGATTGAATGCATATCCGACCTTTACAATAACTCGCGGTGGCCTATCAATATATCGAGTCAGTGCTGCTGTCTTCCTAGACAAGCTTGGCACCAGTTTGCCGACCTCGAAAGAATGAGGAAGGCTTGGTGGACCAGGGGCATGGGAATCGATACCATGTGTATTAGAGGGCGCTTCCGACCACTATGCTACACGCACCCATTATCAATTTTTAGACCTTCAAAAACGTGAAGTGTCACTTAGATGGGCAAAGAAGTTTGCATTTGTTAAAGAAAATATCTGCGAAACTTTTTTCATTTTTTCTTTCGGTCACTCCCACTATGGGATGAAATATTTATAACTGAAGTTAACGATTGAAGGCCAACATTGAACGATCAAATAGAAAGGTTAAAGTTTGCCTTTTCTTTTAAAATCTTCTAAAATATACAGTCTTTTCTGTTTTTCTTGCTACAGTATGCTTCTATAGTTCATAAAATTTCGTTACAATTACGGCCAAAACACCTAGTTTTACGTTTTTTTTTATGTTGCTAAAATCATATTCACCTTCAAATGTTTTTCTCTAACGTTATCCATTGATTTCAGTTATCGATTATTCAACGATACGAAATTTTGTATTAGCTTTAATCATCACTGGTGTCTTATTGCTGTTCTTTCTCCAGAAGAATCGGTGCGTACATGTCTAACCTTTCTTCTCATATTCCATCAAACGCAGTTTGTTAGTGTTTAGAAAAAAATTACTTAAACGAAGCACTTTTCAGTTCTTACATATTCACTTTGCCCTCATTGGAAAGGCATTCATGGGAAATAGAGGGTCAGGAGCGGTTTCCATTAAGTTCAATAACTCTGGATGGTGGAGTAGAAAATCCTGTCTTTGAACCGAACGAAGATACACCAATGGATCCAGAAGCCAACGATAAACGAGTCGCCTGATTACGGACGAGTTTTTATTGTCCGCTGTCTGTCTGAATACTTCGATGTTACTCATCAAGATCTAATAGTGTAGACAACTGCCAATTGTAACACAACTTCGCAAATGTTCTTTGAATCTCTAGTTAGTTTTGAGTTATCAAAGTAATATTTCGATTTGTTATGCAGCTGAACACAGCCACAACTGAAAAGCAAGATTGCTGGCTGGGTTCGTAGGTACACGGTCGTGCTGATTTTGGTCATACAAACACTCTTTTTTCAGCCGGTTCAAATAACCGTATCATCTTCTTAACGCCTGCCAATGAATAATATTCCTGAATATTTACTGCTCCACGACGACATGATAATGATCTCAGGTAGTTGGGAGCTCGAGCTTTATATCGGATTATCTTTAGCATATTGGCAACTTGGAATTAATTATTTGCCAAATAGGTTATGAATCATATATGATTAGTACGATCCACTCTATCCCCAAGGCATAAACTTTATACCCACCCACCTCACTGACAACAATCTTAATGTTACTCTGTCATTATAATGGGCTAAGAACGCGGAACTCCTACGGGATTCCCCAACAACATCTTAGCAGCATCCTCATCTCTGAGACTCTCACTGTCCTTGTAAGCTGTTGGCCACCAACAATCTTTGTGACTTAATGAGCAAAGCCGTCCAAAGACAGTTGTGGGTTGTCTTCCAAAAAACTGTTGTTGGTATACTATTCAGGTGTAGATAGTAGCCGTCTTACAACTACTACTACTATATTAGTGGTGAGGAAGCTATAGAATGAATATAAAACTCAAAGCAGAAGAAAGAACACTGTGTGACAAATTAGACACTCCATAAGGAAATACATTACATAAGATTCCCACAGTCTACATTGCCTCAGCACTAAGTACGACTCATATATGATCCGTATGACAGCTTATGTATTAATAATCGTTGTTTTTCCGGTTATTTAATTCTCTGCTTTCTAAGATAACAGGTCCTTTAAATTTTTATTCCAGCCTTACAAATTAATGCTCACAATGGACCGATTCGTCTTTTTCTTTCGTTCTTTCCTTCTCTCTCTCCCTCTCTCTCCTTTCAAATAACTGTCTCATTTTAAGTACAAATAAAAACTTTCTACTTTTATGTGTTTACATCACTTCAAATTATTGACTAGTTCCCACTTTCAAGCAGCTCCATTTGTGATTCAAATATCACATCGTTCAGTTTCTTTTGAAGTCGTAGAGAGGCGGCACGTGAAAACTCGTCCGACACCCTAATAATGGACTCAGTTTTTTGTTTTATATACTGTTCATAACAAGGAATGTTAGAATTACATAAGAAGCCAGTCATTAATTTCAGAGTTGACAAACCTTCGTAACTGAGCTGCAATAATTGCACCAAACAACTCGAACTCGTCCTGTTGAGGTTGTGAGGTTATTGTATGTCGACGGTGGTACGGCTGTAACAGTTGAAATCATTGGAAGATCTCGCTTATTTCGAAAATGTGAAAAATGGCGCCAAATTCCTCATTCGAGCCCGAATATTCAAATTTCCCCCCTTGTGAGTTCTAGCAATCGCCGCGAGAGCGACAGAACATTGAGGCTGAAGGTGGGCGAGTTCAAATAATTGGAAGTAATCAGAAGAGTACTGAGAAGTTGAAGCATCAAATGAGGCAGAGCTTACCCTTTTTCGCCTTGGTTCCTCTTCTTCATCCATGGAATGGGAATATGCAGCATTATTTTTCGTTACGATATTGTCTGCAACAGCATTGTCAGCACTAGAAACTGGCGGTAATGTCGGTGACGGCGGTGAGTCCAGCTGCGTCGGTGGCTTTTCCGTTGTTGAATACGACTGGAAAGAACTATATGGAAAAGGTTTAGATGTTTTCATTGCTTCATCGACATGATTTTATATACCGGAAGACTTACTCTGGTACTCTTCGTCTCGAAAGAAATTAAACGTGGTTCCGAAATGTACTGCTTTACTTGGCATGAATTATTACAGTTGTGATTAGCTTCTTGTATTTAATCTTCCAAACCTACCATCCACGGATGTTCGTGACTACCATTACGTGATGGAATCCAAAGGTGGAAGTTGCACAGGTGATTACAGGTGATCTATCACATCAACGTAGGTGAACTTCGTTAAAGTTGTTCCTCAATGTTGTTGTATTAGCTGATTTTCCTCAATTCAGCACACCGCCTGGATGACAATAGAATTTCTCTGTATATAGCGAGAATGGAGAACGTGTAGAGCAGTGGTTAAAACTGTCTTAAAATACATGCAGTTTGAGTTTTTGGTTCAATCGCCAGCCCCGTGCTCACCAAGCCTTTCTTCCCTCCAGAATCAGCAAATTAATGCCGGCCGGCCTTCTGTTGAATGATAAAATAAAACACTGCATTAATACATCGGTGGACCTCCCCATACCACGGTATAAACCAAATAACCAAACTCATTCACCCCTACAATGCTCCATGAGGTTGTGTCATACAACCCTTAGGGATTGATTAACGCCGTACGCTTCGCCCTTATCTTTTTATAGCTGGATCTCGAAGACGATGCAGTTGCAGCTCTAAGCGGGTAGTTCGTATACCTCATATACAAGTTGGTGGGCAACATCATTTTGTACTTTCCTATAGATGTTAGAAGGGATAGTTAGATAATAAAAGCTCTTGGGCCTCAGATAATGGATCGCTAGCACCCGAACGACATATCCAATAATTAATAATAAATATTTTGTAATATTCACTGAAATCTGAACTAATCTTCGATTACAAAGCGACTGTGTTTTGCCTAATGGCGATTTTAAATGCGAAAAGTGAAGTGTTTTGTGAATATAAGAAGAGAGCGACACGTAGATATTGTGGAAACAGCATATATCCATTCGTACAGGACATAAGGCAGTCACAATATCTTGATCGACATTGTTTTATTATACTGAAGGACTATCGACTCGGACTGTCGGCTCCGATGAAGACGAAGATGTCGAAACGTTAGCCGAATAAAAATTGTTTATCAACCTTGCGTAAGCTTATCGAAAAAAGAATACAAGTCACGATATCGCTGTCTATTTGTCATTGACATTGTAGTTCACATTGCCCAGAATCACTGAACTCCAACAAAACTGGTGCTACAGTGAGGATTTCAAAGGAAAGAAAAAACACGGTGTCGGAACAGTTGTACGAATTAAATATATAAAAAAACATGTAGCACTGCCAAATAACCGAAAGTAATAAAGTTATACCTTTCTATTTTCTGCCTACTATAATTTCGCGGCAGGGTACTAAGCGAAATACAACCACAACGTTGCTGAGATATTTGCAAAACTCTAGACCGCAGGTGTCTATAGGGGGAACGAACGCGCTATTGTCCTTTCCGGGGAGTAACGCGTTCACCACCACACCATGCGGGTCCTTCGATCAATCCCACTGACGGGTGATTGCTGTGGCAAAGATCGATAGAAATAGCTGAGAGACAGGCGAAACAAAGGACCTGCATGGTGCGGTGGTGAACGCGTTACTCCCCGGAAAGGACAATAGTGCGTTCGTTCTCCACCATAGACACCTGCGGTCTAGAGTTTTGCAAATATCTCAGCAACGTTGTGAAAGTAATAAAATTTTACCTGTGCGAAAAGTGAGAGCATTTGTTCTTCACTTGATGCTGTACTTTGATTACTGCCATCATATTGTATATGATGAAGTTCATTTTTTACTAGGTCCAAACTGAAATGAAAACCATTGTAGGCAATAGAAATATACTGAGAATACAACCACAGTGATGCTGAGATATTTGCAAACTCAGGAGCGCAGGTGTCTGCGGTCGGGATCGCAATACTATTACCGTTTCCAGGGGTTAAAGCGTTTACCACTACACCATGCAGGTCCTTCGCTTCGCCTTTATCTCAACTAATTTCCTACCTACCAGTGCCCAAAGTAATCATCCGTCAACGAGAATTATCTAGAGAGCATAAACCGGCATTGAACCGCGTTAAAAAATAGAACAGAACTCGCTCCATTGATTAAAGTTTGAGAAGTGCGCCATGCATTCGATTTCATTAACTATCGTTGAAGGTCACTGGTAGCCATATCTGACCTTTAGAGTGACTCGCGGTGGTCTATCGATGTATCGAGCCAGTGTTGGTGTCCTCCCAGACAAGTCTGGTACCAATTTACCGATCCCTGAGGGATGGAAGGCTTGGTGAGCCACGGGCGCAGGTTCGATCCCATGTGTATTGCAGGCCGCTTCTGACCACTGCGCTGCACTCACCCTTATTGAACCCTGTTGGCCCTCCAAAAAATAATAGCGTGCTCGATCTCCACCGCAAACACCTGCGCAAACGAAATGAAATTAACAGAAATTTTAGTAGGCATTAAATAGAAAGCTGACATACTGAGAATAATCATGTAGATCTGTGAACAGTGTCGATTATTTGTCAACAATGAAATTAAAACGAATTTGATAATTAGAAAAACTACTGGACACCACAAAACAAGTACCCATGATCTCGTTGAAGCGCCGCTATGTCAAATATAGGATGGTCGTTGGAAAGTCGTTTCGACTCTTTATCATCCAAGAACGACAGCATGCGATAAAACTTCCAAGTTGGCTCCTTGAGTGGATCGTCAGTGTACCTGGATGAATCTTCTACGACTGTGCTGTTTTGTAAAACAAATCTTCTTGAGATTGGAAGGTGACTTGCTCATGTTCGACTTGCTTACAATCAGCTCTAATACAAAAGAGTTTGGCCATTTGTTACGTACGACTAGATTTTTATTCTAGATGTTAGTTTTTTCTAAACATCGTCTTCTGCTTAGGGAATTCGGCTTCATACTCTTGTCAGCTCACTCTTTGTCGCCTATCTCATGTTTGCTCACTATTGACCACTAATGAACAAATGCACTTTGCATGCACTTTTACGGAGATAAAGGCAGTTACCAATACGTTAGTGTTAAGAGTGATCCTTGAAAGTCGTATCGACTAAATTAAACCGTTCAAAAGACTGGGTAATTATAGAAGAGTGAATGATAGCGCATTTGAGAGCAGTACGGATATTCAGTGCGACGATATCTACGAAATGGTTTCGCCGGAAATCATTGTAGATGATGTACGAAACGTTAACTGCCCAACAGGAAGCTATGCAGCTAAAGATAGCTACAATTCAATATTCAAATATGCGGTGATGGAATACCACACATATCGCACTCCTATAAATTTTTACTAAGTACGTGACTGTATGCGTTGAAACTAATGCACATCCGGTGCGAGGAATTGACCGAGTTCATTGCCCATCGCCTGCATATTACTTTTAACTGCTTAGATCGCCACAGAGCTTATTTCCTACGCTTTCCCCCATTTAATCCACAGCTTACCCAATACAGATGTTGTACTGAACGAGACTCGGTAAAAACTATTCTTCAAATTTAACAGTTTACAAAAAAGGAGCCCTTCTCCGACGAGCTTTTCAATGCATAACCAGCTCAGCCGAAAAGTGGGAGTGGTGACAGTCGATCATCATACAGTATTAGGCGCAGTCATATATGTGTTGTAATTACTTAAAGGGAATGATCAGAGATATTTCATTGGAATAAAATCCACTCACTTTCCCTCTGATACCCATCGTAATTTGCGCACGAACGTATCTTTGAGATTCTTCCATTGTGAACGAATATCCTCAGCTAAAAAGGAACTACTTAATAAACACTATAGTAAATTCAGAGAATGATTAATTTAATGTTTAGAAAAAAAGAAGTCTCCGGACTACCACAAAAAAATCGAAACCTGTCGCTCTACCCCAAAAACCAATATCCGTAACCGTATTCCAAATCTAATCTAGGAAACGTTCCTGAGCAGCAATAAGTGGTTCTATGTAAAAGTAAAAAATCGAAAACATTTCATAAATCTCACTATGAACCATAGCACTTAAGTAATTAGCAATTAACGACTATTGTATTTAATATAAACCGATCTCTGAATCAAATTTGATCCACAGACTTCCGATAATACGATACGACACAAACTCTTTGATAGGTTTGCACAACACTCCATGTAGCTACTAAGCAAACTTTTGTGTTACAGTAACGAATTATAACCAACACTATAGAATCATCTATCTTAAATTTTTATAAAAATCAAACCTACCAAGTATACGGAGCAAGGTGCCTTAAAAGGAAATCCCATTCGTTATTCTAAACGTCTTAGGACATAATAGCGAAATTGCATCATTGTTGGTGGAACGTAGTCAAAATGGTCTCCGCGCAACCATGGAAGTCCCGTGCGCATTGAGCCAGCCCGATGCTGGGTGGTGGCACAGTCAGGTGGAGAACGATTACTACAAGTAAGATCCAAAAAGTTACGGCTAGCCTAGAATTCGAAGGTAGTGTGAACCATAATGGACGAGGTGAGTTCGACAATACCCAGCCCATTCTTTGAAATAACCGACGGAATCTGTGAGGAAATGTATATACCTGGCAAAAAACTTTGACTTTGCAGTGACGAGTTTCTGGCCACTAGTTATTCATGTTGTGCACAAAAAGCACCCATTCATAAAGAACTATGTTGTATGCAGGCAAGGGGATGTCAACGAATTGCAGTGTGGGTGATTTGATGGGAATGATTTGCAGGGTTTGCTGTGCGGAGAAAGGCACCAGTACATCGACAACTGAGAAGAATAAGTGTTAGTGCTAGTTCGACCTCATTACGGAGAAAAGCCAGCTGAACGATTCACGCAGGAAGAATAAGAAAGGACTCCTCAAGTAGTTAGAGCAGAAACCAGATGGAGGACAATGAAAGGACGAAAAAGAATTAATGCGTCTATTTTTTTAAATTCTACATGACCCATCTTTATATTCATTGCATGGATCTCTACTTCTTAAATTTGACTCATTTCATCGCATCAATCATCCACGAAGACCTCAGAACCTTCTATGTATGGGTTCCACTCTTCTTTGGAAAACTTCCTATTCGTTATAAATGCTATTCAGTGGTCGTCGAGTGGAGACCCATGGAATACTGGCATGGCAGTGCTAGGACTATGTAGATCGGAGGGATTCACCTGACCCAAACAAGTCTGCTGCGAATATCACAACACCGGAGGAACGAGAGACTTGGTCGAGCCGGTCGGGATTGGATCAGCGTCTTGCTCGTGATGAACGCCATCAATTTCACAGTATTACCCAGCTCATACTGATGCCCCACAATTCGAATAAAATGAAGACACAGAAGAAATGGAAAGAGGAGTGATCAAGGATAGCTGACACGACCCTCTCGCGAAAACACATTCTGATAGGAACACCTTTACCCTATTTTTAGGAAGTCTGTCTCATTGTGTTGGACTTGGGCGACTATGTAAAGCGACATCGTGAGAATGAACTGCTGTGTATAGGCGGTTGATTATCGCGATAATTCCTAGCAAATACTGCGGGACACCAGTGTCAATCATTATGAGCGCACTAGCGTTTAGGATAAAAACCTTGAGACCGCCACGCTCTAAGGTACTGCTCAAGTGTCGATTGGAGCTCGTCAAAAACTTGCAAGCCAAATGTGCAACGCGTAGATTTTAGTATTTCATAGGTTAGAAAAGATGAAAATTATATGGCACGTATACATAGAAAGTGGAAGCGTTTTCGAGCGGATCATCAACAACTGCTGAAGAATTGCAGACGCCATGTGCTGTCATGTTGCAAGGTAGAAAATAAACTCGGATTAGTCTCGGTGCTTCTTTCTAACAACAACAGCCAACCGACAAAGACGATTTTTGTAGATGTTTGCCACTCTACAGTAGTTCCTATTACAACATGGAACGTCAGTCCTTAGAACAGCACGAAAAGTTTTAAGCCTTCGACTAAGATGCTGCTACTCATGTCGGCGATAAGGAATGAGTTATGTAAGATGTAACTGTAGTGGAGCCACACCACCTGTGGCCGTCACTTACATTCCCTATACGACCTCCTACTTTGCAATACCAGCGTCCATCAATTGGTGTGGGTGGGATCCGTTTGCTGAATTACTGTTGAATTTTCTTTATGACAAATAAGAGGTTGTTATTACACTATCTATTCACAATAACTGACGTTTCGGCCGTATCACCTTCTTCAGAGAACAGAAAGGTCAAATTGACACGCAATTTACTCAGCCAGACACTTCCACAACCTCGGCAGATCGAACTAACTACATAAAATACTAACTGTATTAATACAAAAATACTAATATGTAAACTTCATCAGCATAATAAACAGCTTCTTTTAAACATTTTGGACACTTAAACATAAACATAAAAACAAGAATCCTAATCTTTGGAATTTATGATATCCCAAGCTCCAAAAATGAACCTCAAGGAGTGCCTTGTGATAACGCGTAACCTCGCACCACACCTCAGCGTGATTGTTTGACTTGATTCAGGTACATTTCCTTTCCATGTAAGACTCTGTACAGCTGGTCCCCACCAAATAAGTGGATACTTATAAAAGACAAAGCAGTAAATGTTTCAAAGAAGCTGTTTACTATAGGAATGCATATTTATGTATAAGCTTCTATCTTCTGTGGTTGTGAAAGTGTTTCTTTGAGTACACTGTGTGTCAATCTGACTTTTCCAAGTTCTAAAGGTAGTGAAACCGTCAAGAAAAAAGCTATTCTGAATGAATAGCGTTACGACAACCACATGCCTGCTCATAAAGAAAATGGTGGATTATTGATCATTGCTGATGTTAACAGAAAATCAGTTCTGGGATGTGCAACATAATGTACGGTGATCGTTCTGCGGTAGCAGAGCGACCGGTGCTTCTCGACATTAAAAGGCGACACTGTATTCCGCTGTATTCCCAAATCGCGGACGCTCGATGTTTATCCATTTTGGCTCTTTTGTCAATACCTCTTACTCACCTATGTGCCACTGAGAGGAAACAATTTTCCAAAGTACTTCAATAATTTCCCACTAAACCAGTACTTTGCACTAAGCATTCATCACAAATGGTTCGATTTGCTATAGCAACAACAGCTATAGCCACTCAGTTTTAATTGCACAGCCGATTTCATTGGCTTCATTCTTTTTCCAAGCATGACCTTGGAATCTCTTAGGCCAATGAAGTGCTCGATTTTACGTAACTGGTAGTAGACTAGATAGGAAAGGACAAACTTAATGACTTGTTCGTCGATTTTGGATCATAGCGCTTCTTCTATCTAAAGTCAAACCGACAATAGTAAACGAATGCGGCAACTAATCTGCGTGGGACTTTTAGACCACATGAATTATAGTTTTTCCATTAATGCATACTCCAACTGACTTTGTTATAAGCCTTTTTAGTGACTAATAATTGAACTGGGTTAAGAAAATAAAGTAAGATTTTCCATGCCTAGAAGTTCAAAATTAGCTAAACTGAGGTATCCTGTATGGAATCGACTCGACCCTACTGTTTACAAGCAGGTGTTCTTGTAGCTGTTCTTCCTCATACCTACCTGTATATTTGGTGTTCGACGGAAACGCCTCGTTCATCACATTCGCGACGTCGGCAAACGCTGCCGCTTTTGCACTTTTAATGTTCGAATCACTTATGGTAGTATCCCACAGAACCTGAACATATGTTTTTTTTTTCTTCTGGAAAAAAAATAAATAGACCATAAATGATTGACTGCGCAATAAAATCGTAACTGAATAATATCACATCAGGAAATGTTCGAATTTTAACACACAGTCTAAACTGCGACATGTTTTGAACCAATGGCCCTACCACTGGTAACCTTCCACGGGCTTCTAGATGTGATTTGCAACAGCAATAGAGCAACGAAAGTTGTGAACATTTTCGTTGTACCCGTGTGAGAATTCCGTGCAGTAACGACTAGGTACTCTTCTGCACTCTTGTCTTGCAGTTTCATAGAAAAACAATCTTCTCCTACACAAATTGGCATAATAATATGGGAGCTCCTTGGTACACATATCGCTACTCCATAGGAAAAAAATCATTTCACTCTAATAAAATATTATTCAAACTGAAATCGCAGTAGAATCTGTAGCATTCTTCATTACGGCGATTCATCCCAGTAGGCAAGAAGCATCTTTCTAAATATCACACAAATCACACTAATTGACACCGTTCCGTTCCTATCCGAAGATTACTGCAGACTAGTTGACTTCTCCCGTCTTTCCATCGCTGATAAGCATAACTGATAAGCATGAAAATCATGAAGTGAGAATGAATATTAGCGAAAATCATTTATACCATCTAGTCAATATTTTGGAGACCAAACGATAAGGGAATTTTAGGCTTCTGCTAACATCTATCTTAGCTACGCGCCGCGATGGAATGCAATGATGCACTGTTATCACGAAATTGCTGGAATGCTATCGCTTCAACAGTCACCACTTCTAAAGCCACCAAAACCTCCGAGATTTCGATGGTGATCAATAGGTGATAGAGGATATGAAAGCATAAAATAATGACCAGACCTTTAAAAGATAAATAAAAGGATAAAGCTCAAGGCGTTGATTAATCTCTGAAGGACGCGCCATGCGTTCGACTTCACTAAGCATCGTTAGCGGTGATTGAATGCATATTTGGCCTTTAAATGATTCGCGGTGGCCTGCCGATGTATCGAGGCAGTGACACTATCCTCTCAGACAAGTCCGGTAATGATTCGCCGACCGCGGGAGGGATGGAAGGCGTGGTGAGCTACGGGCGCGGAGATCGATCCTACGCGTGTGTCGCAGGGCGCCTCCGACCACTGTACCACACGCGCTCTTGACAAAACTTTTAGTTATCATAATGCTTATATTCTCAACCAGTGTTATCGTGATAAGACAAACCTATCTATACAAATATCATATCATATCATATACATCAGTATATTCATAAGTACCAACTTCATACCTCTATGAGACTAACAACATGAACTTGTTCATCTGTTATATTGATTAATTGGTTACTAAAATATATGACGCCTTGACTATTCCTTGGAGGACATTCTTGGATGGAGTACTGCCACGTATAACATGGGACTCATCTCACTTTATGATCGCCTAACCTGACGAGGAGTTCCACGACTTCATCCGGGGGCCCACCTAAAGAAACCAATGTCGAAGGTGTTTAATGTTCTAAAAGAGACTTAGTCTCGGAGTAAATATCACTCCATGCTAGTGGTTAGCTGTGGTGAAGATAGGGCAAGAGTAGGAACGGATTTCTCGCCGACAACTAGTAACGTTCCAGTCAAGCGTGAACTATGATGAAGTCCATATGATTCTTTACGAAGGCACATCACACAAGTATATAGGTCAAAAATAATTATTAGATTGATAAAGACTGCTACGGATTTTTACTCTGAATAGACAGATGATGTGACATTGTTGCAGAATGAAGCATATACAAAATTATAAAGATAATGAATAACTAATATAAGAGATATTCCTAGAAGTAATAAATGACAAGAAAGCTGTCCCTTACTCGTCGACATCGAACTTCTTGAATTAGAAATGTCCGTGATGGATCTGTCCATTGGGCCATTTATGACTCTAAAATAAACCAAAGGATTTTCATCCACCTGCTGCCAGAAACAACAATAAAGTGATGGTAAACAGGTAAGAATCACCAAGACTAAGTTCGTGATAGAGATTGCATCGCCCACAGACCAAGAAAAACAAAAGTAGTGAACAAAACTATTGTAATACAACCACGACGATGCCGATATACGAGCAGAACTCGAACCCTTGGATGAGCTTCGAACCTGCGATTATCCTTTCCGAAGGATCAACTACTATCCATCACACCAAACTCGTGGCTCTTGCTTCGCGTTTGTCTCAGTCAGTTTTCTACTTCAGCGATGCTATCAGCAATCCCTCGTCAACGGGGAAAATCTTCGAAGCACGAATTAGCACTGGATCCAGTTGAGTCAAAACTGCAGTCGAAATCACAATGTTTAACTTATTTTCGCTCTGAAATGCACTGCCATGAAAAAAGAGAAGGCTGTAAATAAAAATTAAACATTGCGATTTCCAGTTCAGTTTCAGCTTAACGCCTAGAAGCATCGATTTGTGCTTCCTAGATCATTAATGTTGACGAGTGATTGCTGATAGCACCGCTAGAGTAAAAACTGGCTGTGAGGAAGGTAAAGCAAAGGCCTCGGTGGTGTAGTGGACAGCACATTAACTGCCAGCTAGGTAATCGTGGGTTCGAAACTCGCCAAAAGCTCCGAGTTTTACTCATATCCCAGCACATGATTGCGGTTTGTGGTTGTGGTTTCATTTCACATAATACTCTGCCGTAATAAAAAAAAGCAGTAAATGTAAAAGTTAAACAAAACCATAGTAGATTCAGTGCTGACATTATCGATTTCTGCTGAGCAATATCGATTACCCGAGTATTTGAATAGTCCTAAGGAAATGAAGATACGAAAAAGCCGTTTCAAAAAATAAATGGTTAGAATTGTCGTAGGGTCTGGTTGCGTCGGTAATATGTAACATCTATATTCTGAGAATAAAAGACCCTTAAATGTTCGAATATTCGAATATCCTGAACTTGGTCAGAGGTTCAGTGCCGCCTTCTCACCCGTCTTAAACCGTATTCCTTTATAGTAACTTACCCTCTTTACAAACGAAAAAGCCTCAAATAATCTATTAAGAGAATATTAGTGGTATCAAAGCAGTCGAGTACTCAAGGTTTTGTAAACTCGTCTTACTACATTATTCCAATAAGAAGACAAAGGATAATGCGTCTGACGCCTACCAATTCCTTATCAATGCGTCATGCACTCGAGTCCATTAATAAAATTTCGTCTCTTTTTTTCACACCCAGAGAGGCTTAATACTAATTTACTGAACCCCAGAGGGATTCGTACTCGATAAGCGCAGGGCGTAAGACCGATCCCACGACCACGTGCTCACTGTAGAGCACTTATAACCACTGCGATACACATGCCGCATATTATTGTATCTGTACAACCAAGCACCATGCAGTAGGGAATCCTGAAAAGATCCTTTCTTCTTTGTTCTCATGTAAATCAATCGTATCGGGCTTGTCGATATGAGAAGAAACGGGAATAACGCGATTTAAGCACACATTGAAGGCGGTCCAATATTGCTTTCTACAGGAAGTAAAAAACAAAGGAAAAACTCCACAGGTACTCGGAACCGCCAGGAACGCAATCCATGGGTATGGTTATGTTCCATGGCACAATTCTGCATGCTTTCCGTTGATAATCATAGAGGTTGTCAAAACAAAGAGACCTCTTCCGAAGAAGAGACTTCTGAAATGCTCTTGAGGTCCATGATGTGAGCGAGCATCTCTCTAGAGAAGAACCCTGTCCATAAAAACGGATTAAGCCATTCAACTACTCCATGTCTAAGCCGACTTTCTGTTGGTATTGCCGAATCACGTTCAAGCAACGTCAGAAGTCATATTTCTAGATATGGGAAAGCTGAAACAGGAAATTTTTTTATTGAAAAGATCTATTCGAATTATCAGATTTTACGAAAGAAATGAGAATGAACGATGTATAAGAAAATGTTTGCAGAAGAAAAAGAAAGCTTTATTAGAATATTCGTAGATGGCTCGATATAAAGCTCAACAAATCAATAATATCAATCAACATCCCCCAATGTAGATGTCTTTTCTCGCTCTTTAAGGATAACCACAAGCAATATCCAAAATAAGAACTTGAATGGGACTTTCTAAAAAAGGGAACTAAAAGTACGAAGAAAAAGGACACAGATGGAAATGAATGGCCAACAATATTTAATAAGCTTATTCTTAGTGATCAATTCATCTACAGTAGATCGCAGCGATCTCCTCCCTTTTGATCAGGTATGGGCCGTTCTCCTATGTTGAATTGTTGGCCCGTTCATTTTCTACTAGAAAAAAACAATCAATAATCAATAAGTTGCTAGCGTGGGAAAGTTCCTTCCGCTCCTTTCAATCGTATCGGCGATTTACAGAGGTTTTTTCTTGTAAGTGGCGTCATAGGCTACCACTGATGTCAGTCATTGAATTTTCGTATAGACTTCCTAAACATGTCATTAACGACAACTGCTACAATTTTCTTCTTTTCTTTTAAAAAAGGCCTTTTTAAACTCTTTTTCTGTGCCCTAAAGGAATCCACTCGAATCATGTCTTCTATGAAATAAGATGAAATCCACCACAGAAGCTCGGCTCTAGGGGAATTTCAGAGCTTTTCAATAAGAAAAGTCTCTGAGTGGATAGAAGAGCGGCGGGAAAACCTTTCCTAGACTCTACCGTAACTCGCAAATGATCTCAGTGGAGCAGATGGGTAATGGAAGAGGCTGGAATGAATGATAAATAGAAGATAAAAAGAGGAAGTCAATCAAAGTAAGGAGATCTTACATCACATTTTACGAAGGAAATGAGCAAAATTTTGTGCTCCCATTGTGACCTACGCATGGACATTCTCACCCATTCAAATTGGAAGCTTGGACACCTAATATGTATTAAATACACTTGAATCAACTGGATGACGTCACCGGTAGGAAGTCAGAAATGATAGAAAGTCAGGGATGAAGTTGCTGACAGTCCATTGTAGACAACCAGAATGGCGTACGATGATAAAAGCAAGAGAAACATGGAATCTACGCCGGCCACGACGGACGACGTACGACAAGGATCGTCTTCAGGCGAACGTTGAGCAGCGACGTCGACGCTGCGATGATGGCGCCGCCGCTGTCGTCGTCGTCGTGCCAGCAGCAACGCAGCGGCGATCAATTCGTCGTCGCGCAGCGCGGCGATGGCGTGGCGACCGCGTCGCGCGACGACTGCGTCGCGACGCACCCACTGCGCACTCCGACACCACCGCACTGCCTCGCCGCTGCGTCGCCGATCTGCGCGCTCCGCGGCCGCTGCAGTGCGTCGCCGCGTCGAGTCGCCCGCGATCAGTGCACTTTCCGCCGCCGCCACCGCCACCGCCTCCCACCTCGCCGGCGCGTCCGTCGTCGTGACCTGCGCGCCACCCACGACGACGACGACGACGACGACACCGCCACCGCCGCCGCTGCCGCCGCTGCCGGCGCCGCCTCGGCGATGCGTTTGTCGTCATGACCTGCGCACCACCCACGTCGACGACGACGACGATGCCGCCACCACCATCTACCGCCGACGCGGATACGGCCGGCGATATATGGATTCGCAACGATCAATAATCGTCGCAATGAAAACCGAACAAATCGTAACTGTAAAAGGACCATCGAAAAGGTAAAAGGAAGTTCACTTATCCGAGCCCGGCTTTCTGTTAACCTTGGCACTAATCAAATAGTTCAGTGTTGTATTGATGAGCAGACACAAGTTTGTTAACAATAAGATTTATTCTGTGCAATACTGGTTGACATTTCGGCGGTTTTGCATTTTTTAACTCCCCCAGTTGTTATTGGAGACCAGCGGCATAGAAGAGAGAAACGTGCTAAATTCTTGCTGTTCACCTGTTGTTCCAACACCTTCATGACGTTACCTTGCTAAATCAAAGATCATCGAAATGAATCGTCCAAGTAACTTTAATACCACTTTCTTTTCAATACCGACTCAGCCCGTCACGTCATTTTCCGTCAACTGATCTCAATAATAGCTGATGTCTCGGAAGAATCCAAGTCGCAACGCAGCAAATGTTCTTGCGATTCGTAAGTTCGGTAAGGAAAGTCGCCTGTGTTGAAGACCTATGAAAGCCCTAGCACTGTTTTCCTAGGATTCCTGCGAAAATTACCCTTGACCACCATCCATCATTTCAATGTAGAGGAAAGATAACAGATTCCCTTATTGTTCGCGGATGATGGTTATAAGCAGACCCGTGATGGAAGGTTAATGATCTTCAAGATCACTAAATTAATTAGTTAAGTTCTTCTGTCGATTCTGTGTTTATGTGTCTTAAGCAATCTAAAAAGCAGTAATTTGAAGGTTGACAAGAGAGATTCGTGTCATGGATCTCAGTATGGGTTCTACGTGCTCTGAAAATTAATAGTAACACCTTCACATTGGGTCTAAAGAACGTATTCCTCTATATTTCTCATAACTACTGCTAACGGAGGGCATGTGTAGCACAGTGGTTAGAGGCACACTGAATACACGCGGGTGGGTTCGGTCTCACGACCTAGGCGCCAAATTGATAGGAGGCCTGTTTTGGAGGATAGCAGCACAGACTTGATACATCGGTAGACCACTACGAGTAAATACAGAGCCCAGATATGCATTCAGTCACCTCCAATAATGCTTGATGAAGTCGGGTGCATGGTGCATAACTCAGGAACTGATCAACGCTCGGAGCTCTTAACTTTTTTATTGTTAATGAAAGTCTATTACGTTATCTCCAACACTCATTTGGTTCTTCATTTGGTTAGGTCCCACCAGGCACTCTTGCATGAAAGAGGAAACGAATGGAAACAGGGAAGGTGAAAGATGAAGAAGAAGTGAAAATTTTTTTCAAACAATGTGAACCAATATAAAGCTGAGATATTTGAAAACTATTGTAAATCTACATTCATTTATCCTCGGTATAAATGGTCAATTTACTTTCTCTCATTGATAAGTTAACAGAAGTTTGTTAGCAAACATTTATTCGGTTAACATCTCTACCTCGTGGTCTACCTCAGAGCCAATGGTCCGAATGATTGGTCCATCATTGATTCGCTATTTCCCGTTTGCTAGCTATTATAATTTAATACCGTTTGCTGAAGAATGGATTATCTATTGAAAACAAGTTATTATGGACAGATAGTCGTTATCAACAGCAACTCGAGTGGTACACCACTCTTGAAGATTCTCCTCGATACGATGACGAAGACGCCACATCGACAAGACGAACGACTGTGGACCCTCGGGTCAAATCATTAGCTCTGAGGAAGAAGAAGACGTCGAAACGCTAGCCATATAAATATGTGGTAGCGACCTCGTTTTAGCCAATCACTGGAAGAAGGTATGTTTGAAAAGCTCGGACTCCGACCCCTGCTCGTTAAACCGTTGATAGATGATAGCTGGTAGCACCGTGAGGGTAAAAAACTAGCTGAGAGAGAAGCAAAGGGAGGGCCTCAGTGGTGATATGGGTCACATACGAACCCTCGAAAGAGGTAATGGTAGGTTGAAAGCTGGCATGGTATCTAAGTTTTCCAAATATCTCACCATCATCGTGGTTGTGTTTCACATAATATCTTGCCATGGAAAAATAATAGGCTGTAAATAAGTAATTATGCATTGCGAATCACTCTACCTGTTACGTTCTTTATTCGGCGTATTTTTTGCCTTATAGATCAAGTTTCCACAGTTTTTCTTCCTTCTGTTCATGTAGAATCTCATGAAGCTGTGATTTACAAACAAAAGTTAGGAACTGCGAAGTACACCAGAGATCAACCAAATGGACGAATCAACCAAAAAAGAGCTTTTTAAACTATATTTGGAACTTTTGTTAGTAAGGAATCCGAAGATGTGGAAGTATAATTTGACTTTTCCAAAGTTTATTAGCGCTCATGAGAACGAGGAATTTTTTTTCGACTGTAAAAAGACGTTGCCTCATGGAAATTCTAAAGCGCTAATAAGGATAAAGGGTAAAGCTCTCGGCGTTGATCAATCCCTGAGGGATGAGCCATGCATTCGTCATCACTAAGAACCGTTGGAGGTAACTGAATGCACATCTGGCCTTTGCAATGACTCGCGGTGGCCAACCGATGCATCGAGCCAGTGCTGCTATCCTCCCAGACAGGTCTGGTACCAATTTGCCGACCTCGGTGGGATGGAAGGCATAGTAGGCCATAGGCGCGGAGATCGATTCCACGTGTGTGTCGCAGTGGCACCTCCAACCACTGCGCCATTAAAGTATTAATAAGAATATAAAATTACAAGACGAAACTGAAAAATTCCATGGCGTAGATGAATATCAGTATTGGGTTCAAGAGATTTCGCTTGGATAACGAGACTATTTATCTTCTTCCAGTGGACAAGCAGAAGGCAACGGATGTCAAGGAATTAGCGTCACCCACCTTTTATCGCCGAAATCCGTCAATGATTTGATTGGATTTTTGATTCATATTGCTATTTTTGTTGGGCGCTCGCGGCGCAGTGGTCGGGGTCTCCTACAACACACATGTGGAATCGATCCCAGCACCCATGGCCACCTGGCCTTCCATCCCTCCGGTGTCGACAAAGTGGTACCAGACTTGTCTGGAAGGACACCAGCACTGGCTCCATACATGGGTAAGCCACAATGAGTCATTGTAAAGGCCAGATATGCATTCAGTCACCTCCAAACGTTGCTTGATGAAGTCGAATTCATGGAGCATCCTTCAAGGAATGATCAACGCCGAGGGCTTTATTCTTTTTCATCTTTTATTTCTATTTTTGTTTGATGATTTATGGAGACCAAGAGTCTTGGAGGTGACAGAACTAACTGCCCATCACCGTCGAATGTCAGGTCACTTTGATTGATATATCAGTCTCGATTTTAATCCTAAAGCCATAGCACAGATCAAAGTCAATATTGCTTTTATTAAGATTTCGATATATCGCTAATATAGTGCTTCGAAAGTGCTAGTGTGCACAATGTCAACATGGCCTTTACCTAACCAGTGGCCTTTACATTAGTGAAGGAAGTCGAGTGCTGCTGTTGATTTGCATCCATGAGACTGATCGACACTGTCGAACATCTTGTCAGGTTAGATGATCCTACCTAAAGAACGAACCTCTTGTCTTACAGTGAAGTCGGGTATCCAAGAACACGTTTGCAAAAACGAGGTGCAACTACTCAAAAAGACATCTTTCTCCTTGGTTGCTTACCGAAAAAATTTCTACGTGTACCACTAAGAAGTTATGTCGATTAATTTAGTACTGAAGAATAACGGATGATGTGCACTCTTCTGCAGTTAAGGACATTTCTAATAAAACACAACGCTATCGGTGAACGAATAGCAAACAAAAAGGGAAGAATTGAGACTTTGAGTAGTTCTCACATATGGGTGTGATATAAAACGAAAAAGGAATGACGTAGGATACATGTAATATTTCACTCTTCATGCATGCATCCATGTGTGAGCGCATTAACTCTGTAAGAAACCCATTGACAAACATATGTTCTATGAGGTTCCTTTTCTTGAGAAATCAAGAAAAAGTGTGAGCACAGGGTACATACGCATAATCTCTGTTTCGATCCTCGGCACGAGCAAAGGACAGAGGCCATTGGTCAGCTAGTGTGGATGATAGGTATTGTCAGACAGCAGTCCTCATTCATCACCTAAACAGTGTAGATTATCGTTTTGACAAATATTTACTTACTTGGATATTTGAACGGTCTGTCCTCACTGGTTTTGCGGGTTCCAGCACAATCTCCATTTTTTCGGAGTTTCGGAAGCTTAGTTATTGTGTTTCCCTGGAGTCCCGAGGTCAACCTGGTCAAAGCCAGCCCGGGTCTTCACCTTAGCAGGCAGTTGCAGCCCTTGTGGATCACAGGAAGATTTGCCTCCACGCAACTAGATTGATACCAAGACAGTGGTGGATTCTGGTATTGGATTACTCTTAACTGGGTTTCCTGACGGAAACGCCAAACTGCTTCTCAGCTAGGGAGTGCCTGACGGTGGGATGAATGCCTTGCTGTACATCGCAGCCCCACACCTAGGAGCACCTCCCAGCCGTGATGAAGCAGTAAAACGTTGGGAGGTTTTGGTAAATAATCGAAGAGAATTACAAATCATTCCCTAATTCGCTGTGTCCTCGCTAAGCACCCACAAGGTGGTTATTCGCTAGAAAGTTGACGTTTCAGCGGGTTTCGCCTTCTTCGGATCATGTTGACTGAAATCATGTTGATTAGGTCATGTTGACTGAAATCTGACCAGCCAAACGCCTCCACGGCCCCAACAGAAGAACATGAAATTTCGACTTCAATCGCGTTGAGAACTAAATAGCTTCTCAGCATACTCTCCCCTTCCTATAAGTCCTCCACCGAGTAATTCTCGTGAAGAGTAACCTAAAA